TGTGATAAAAATCCTTCTCCCAGAATACCTCCTGAAGGGCCTGTGCTTTTAGGTGACTGGCAGTCCAGTTGGTTTCTTTAGACTATCAACATCACAAATGGAATAACATGCTACGATGCCTATGACATCACTAGGTATGTGCACACACATACCTGGCATGTTTTTCAAGCCACAGGTCCAGGACTAACTTCACAGTTCATGATGTGGGTTCTAGCCACCTTAACTACCAGCTACCAGATGGCCTGAGATGGACAACTTTAAATTGAGCACACTGGCTAGGAAAAGAGTCAACTTTGGAATCCAGTGCTGGACATGGCCAAACCAAGGTTATATACAGATGCAGAGACCAACAGTTGTCCTGAGATTTTTAAGTTCCTCTTTATGAAACTTGCTTAACCTCACACCAAAGCATGAAGGTACCTAGAAAATGTTTCCTACTACTAAAAGTCAAGACCTGGCTTCATAGTGATTTTTTATTTCAAATTCTGGAGAGGAAAACACTGACCCTGGACTTAGTTGAGTACTACTATTAGTAAGATTTATCTTTTCTTTTTTTTTTTTTTTTAATTGCTAGAAGATACATGCATTTGCCAGAGAAACAGGAGGAAGGAAAATGTACTCCCTAGTGGGGCATGGTCATATTGCAATCTCTTCCCATTAGGATAAAAAAAAAAAAAGTTTCTGTAATAGGTTGCATTCACTCACTGGAGAGAGATTGTTTGGGGGTGATTTGTCACTCCAGAGACAGGAAAGGTGAGAAATCACCCCAGGGGGCATGGCCACACCACAGTCCTTTCCCCTTTCTCTCAGGATTTGAGGCATGCATGCACATGTGCCTAGTGTGATTTACAAGATACCAGATCTGGGACTCGAACCACACAGTTGGCTATGCCACCTGCCACCCCCCTCATTAGGATTTTAGACATGCATACATACATACATGCCATGGGTTGTTTTTTTTTTAAGAATTATTTTTCATTTAAGTTTATTATTTTCCAGTTTGATCAGAGAGAGACAAGAGTGAAGGAGTGAGAAAGCAAGCCACCAGGTCTGGGACCCAAACCATGGTTAACTGTGTGGGAATCCAGTGTCCTTAACCACTATGCCACCTGCTGGCCCCCATACTTGGCATCATTTCTAAGCTGCCAGGGCCATATGGGATCTGGGTCCTTGAACTGCTAGGCTACAGGACTAGTCGGTTCCAACTCTTCTTTTTAAAATAATTATTTATTTAATTTTTAAAATTATTTTTAAATTTGCTACAGGGCTCATAGTGAGAGAGAAAGTAAGAAAGCAACTACCAGGTCCGGGATTCGAACCATGGTTGGCATGCCACCTGCTGGCCATGACCCCTACTCTTATTTATTTTAAAGTAATTATTATTATTTTTTTCATTTGCTGTAGGGCATGTTGCCAGGTCCGGGACTGGAACAACAGTTAGCCATGTGGGAGTCTAGCACCTCAACCACTATGCCACCTGGCCCTATTTATTTATTTTTAAGATTTTTGTGATAGGGTGTATGTGCTCACTGGACAGAAAGAAAGAGAGACAGTGAGTGGGAAAGTGAGAAATTTTTCCCTGGCGGGGATGGCCATGACAAAATTCCTTCAATCTCCTCCTGGGATTTTGGGCATCCATGGATATGCACCCAGCATGATTTTCAAGCCACCAGGTCCATGGCTCGAACTTCAGTCAGCCATGTGGGAACCCAGCACTGTAACCACAATACCACCAGCTAGCACCATCAACACTGTTTTAAATTAGAACATTCTTTTTTTTTTTTGGAGTGGTTTTTGCTATAGGACGCGTGCACTCCCAGAAAGACAGAGAGAGACAGAAAGTAAGAAATCACCCCCCAGGGGGGATGGCCACGTTGCAATCCCTTCACCTCCATTCTCCTCTTGAGATCTTGGGCATACACGCACATGTGCCCGGTGAAAGTTTAAGCTACTGGGTCTGAGACTCAAACCATGGTCGGCTACATGGGAGTTCAGCAACATAGCCATTACATTAACTGCTGGTCCCTAAATTAGAATACTTTCATAAGAGAATCCAACTTGCATATCAGGTTTTTTTATTTTATTTTTTTGAGAGATTTTTGCTATAGGGCGCGTGCACTTTTCAGAAAGACAGAGACAGAGAGACAGAAAGCAAGAAATCACCCCCAGGGGGGATGGCCATGCTGCAATCCCTTCTCCATTCTCCTCTCGGGATCTTGGGCATACATGCACACGCGCCCGGCGTAAATTTAAGCCACCAGGTCCGGGAATTGAACTGTGGTTGGCTATATGGGAGTTAAGCAACATAGCCATTGCGGTAACTGCTGGTCCCTGCATATCAGATTAATTCCAATTCCACAGTTCAGGATTTGGAATTATTGCAGAAAAGGGCCAGATCTGGAGTTCATTAGTTCCATCAATTCTTATGGAACAGCAACTTCCTCGATTGTTTTCCTTTAAAAAAAAATTATTTCTGATAAAGTTATTCCCCCCCCCAAATTATTTCTTCTAGGAAACAGCACTCTCAATAGGGTCTCAATGCTGTGATCCATCCCCACCTCATCTGGCCCCAGACCACAGCCAATGTGTGTGCTGTGTACTTGGCTTGAACTGGAAACCTTTGCAGTTGGGACTACCTTATACAATGTCATGTATTACCACTGTGCCATCTGGCTCCTCTAATCCCTTTTACTGTGGGTAAAATAACTGCTTTATAATGCAGATTCTTAATGCCACAGGCCAAATACTAAGGTTGTGCTGGGCACACTCAAACCCTAAATGGTCAAGGGTTAAAATAAAACTGAGCTAAGTCTGGGGCCAATCTGGTTAAGGCAGTTGGACCCCACATAGCTGACTGCAGTTTGAATCTTGGTGCCCGCTGCTGGAAAAACATACCAGGCGTGTATGCATGATTGCCAAAATTCTGATGAAGAAATGCAAAAGATTTCTCTGGCAAGCCCATGTGACTTCTGGTAATTAAAAGGGGAAAAAAATTGAGCAGGGCCAGCAGGTGATATGGTGGTTAAGGTGCTGAATTCCCACATGGCCTACATGATTTGAGTACTGGACATGGCAGCTTGACAATCATGCCAGGCATGTGTCCACACATGCCCAAAATCACAGAAGTAGAATGGAGAAGGGACAATGGCCTGGCACCCGTCTCCCCACCCCCAGGGATATTTCTCACTTTCCCTCCCTCTCTGTCTCTCTCTAGCTAGCACACATGCCCTATGGCAAAAAACAAAACAACAAAAAACAATGGAGCTGTCTGAATATGACCACTGGTAGAACTGAGTTCTGGAATACAAGATTATATCTGAAATACTTAAAAATTCAGTTACTCCGGCCAGCAGGTGGTGTGGTGAAGGCATTGAATTCCCACATAACTGACCACAGACTGAGTCCAGGATGTGGTGGCTTGAAAAATCACACTGGGATAGCATGTACGTGCCTAAAATCTCAAGAGGAGAATGGATGGGTACCCATTGCCCCCACCCCTGGGAATGGCTTCTCACTTTCTTTCTCTCTCTGGTAAATACAAGTACCCTTAGCAAAAATTTGAATAAATAAAAAGAATGCTGGAAATGACAATGATGTCAGTTCTAAAGGTTAAGGCCAAGGCTGAGTTGCAGTCCACTCTGGACACACCAAGGCTGAAGTCTCATTTCAGTGCACCTGATGATGCTGAACAGAACCAGAACACCTTTACCCAACCTATTAACCAGCTACTGATTGTTGTGCCACTGCCAATACCACAAGGACACACTTAGACCTCTACACAGAAAGGCCACTCCATGGCCCTAACCTTTGATAAGGCTCCCTCCCTTCTCCACTATCCTTTCTCAAAGCTTCCCCTTGAAAGCTTTTTGAAAAAAGTATGGTCAGTTTATCTGAAACAAATGCATTGTACTAGTTAGTCTAGCTTAATTGTTACAATAATTTATTTCAGTGGAACTTTTATTTCCCTTTATAAAAACCACAAGACTCTAGTCCCAGTTTGGCTCTAGAATTATAGGCAGAAAATGATGTTTTCAAGAAAATAGATGACATTTTAATTCAGTGCTCAAAGACAGCTAATTTCTGAAAAACAGGGGAAAGTTGATTTTAGCCAAGGTCATAGAATAAATATGTTAGATAGCAGAGCCAGAATCTAAGCCTAACTCAAAAAACCTGTTTCCAAATAAATCATAATTTGGGAATGCTATCCTGTTCCAGTGTCCTGGACAAATAAACTTCCAGCAAACACTGAAGACAATGATGGGAGTATCTTTATAGTCTTTGTAGCAACCATAAATGTTCAATAATATTTTTAAAAATTATTTAATTTTATTTATTCTTCAATCATTTTAATTTGACCAGAGAGAGAGAGAAAGTGAGAAAGCAACCCACCAGGTCCGGGACTGAAACCATGGTTGGCCATGTGGAGATGCCCAGTGCCTTAACCACCACACCACCTGCTGGCCCCAATGTTCAAGAAGAATTCACTAAATTAATGGACCAGCAGATGGTGTAATGGCTACGTCATTGGACTCCTAGGTAGTCAACCTTGGTTTGAGTACTGGACCCGGTAGCTTAAACTCCTGCTGGGCGTGTGTGCGTGAGTGCCCAAGATCCTGAGAGAATAGAGGATGCAGTGTGGCCATCCCCTCAGGGGGTGATTTCTCGCTTTCTGTCTGCCTGTCTCTTGTCTTTCTGGCGAGCACACGTACCCTCTCCACAAAAAAAAAAAACCCTCTCCACAAAAAAAAAAAAAAAAAAAAAAAAAAAAATTTCAAAAAAAAAAAAAAAAAAGGCATTAGAAATACCTATTTGATGACTGCAGTTAAGCTATATAGCCCTAGTTAGGTGCAATTAATATGGTGAGACCACTTAAAGATTCAGGTCAGGCACCAGATTTTCAAGCCTACAATGTTCAGGAAATAAAATCTAATCTGGAAGTTGTTTCTAACGGGGTGATCCTGAAGGGTTTCTGGTAAGATTTAATTAAAACAGAAATCGGGGATTATAAATCTAGAGTTTTATTAAGACAAAAACTGACAAGTATGGTATGAAGTTTACATTTAAACAAAGTTTTCACAGAAACCTAACACATGCTTAAAAAGATTTAACAATGTAGCTCAAGATATAGGTCTAGATGCTGTCAAGAACTGGATGGATCTCATGATTCAAGACAGAGCATTTCAGTTATCAGTTAATTCTTAGGATTTTTGTTTGTTTTGTGTTTTAAAGTGAACCACTGCCCCAGTATGAAAGTTTAATCTTCTCCTGAAACCAGGGCTTTTGAAATCATTTAACCCTTGAATTAATTCAATGAAATTTGTGCTGTCGGTGACTGAACCCGTCCACCAATGGTTTCAGAGTTCGAAGTTCAAAAAACAGAGGCTTCAAGAATTGTCCACCTCAGAGCATGGGCCCCTGTCCTCCCTACTTTCATCTTCTACACTACTCCAGGCCCCTCCCCCAATCCCTCAGCCAGTGGCTTGGATGGACAACCTTATATAACTTCTTAACCGGACTAGAAAGGGTCTTCTTGTCTGGAATTAGCACCTCAAAGACAGAATGATCTGCCTGTGTATACTCTCTAATAAAAGACTTTCCCTCCTCAGTCAGATTCCATCTCCTGAACTGTAGCTTTGGTAACTTATGAACTGGCTTAGTCTTTTGTGGGGAACAGCATTAAACTTAGGCAGGGAACACACTGGCTTATAGGTTTCAGGCATTCACAGCTTTTAAAGCAGTCTCTCATAGTCCTTGTTTAGGGTGCCAATGACATTTTTTGAAAAGGTAAAATATTCTGGACATAGAACGAATCATTAGTTGTTCTTTCCACTGTTTCACCATTTTCCCAATCAGGCCCCAAATTTTAACCAAAATGATCCTACTCAACTCCCTTCCACCCCATCCCTCCCACTCCCAAATAATAAACCAGTAAATAGCCAAAAACTACACACATGCTACGCTGTAAAAATGCAGAGTTAACACTATTGGGAAGAAGGCTGTGGGTTGTGGAGATGCTCTTTGAAGATCTACAGTATCTTTTTGCTCTCCCACACACCCAATTCTGCAAGTTTTGTCCTTCATAGAAGGCCCTTTGCTTTTCTCAGCAAAGTGCAGAATGGGTTGCCTTGAAACACTTATCCCCTTCCCCTCCACTGGGATGGGTGTGCAAACTATACAGCGTAGAAGGGCTGTAAAGCACTTGGGCTGCTGCAGGGCACAGAAACTATACTGGCTCTTCAAAGGACATCTTCTCAAGCCACCTCTATGGTGTCAAGACAAGTAGAACTCCTTCCCTCCCCATATGAAACCCACAGTCAGAAGAGACAGGGGCTGGTACTCAGGAGACTTAATTCTTGTCATCTTTTTTGTCATCATCCTCCGAGGGGTAGGAATGCCACGTCAGCCTTTCCTCATAGAAGGATATGACAACCTGTGGGCACTTGACATTGGCTTCCTTGGCCGGGACCCGCTGAGACTCATCAGAGTTTTTCCTGCAGAACAAAGCACACAGAGACACTTGAAACTAGGCGGTGGTGGTCTAACTTGGATTACCCAGGGGGCCTTAAAGTATCAATTCCAGAAAAGGAGGCCAGAGAGGGGCAAAAAATGTGGACCAAGGAGCATTAATTGGCAGCTTTTAGTCAAGTGATACCCTCAGAGATACTTTCCTATTGAAAAATCCCCCCTGGGGACCAGTAGATAGCTTAACAGTTACGTTGCTGGACTCCCACAGTCGAACACAGTTCTAGTCCTGGACCCAGCAGCTTAAACTCATGCCAGAGTGTATATGTATGCCCAAGATCCTGCGAGGGGAATGGAGGAAGGACTGCTGTGTAGCCATCCCCCTGCCCGGGGGTGGGGAGGGCGATTTCTCGCTTTCTGTCTGTCTTTCCAGTGAGTGCACGCGCCCTATAGCAAAAATCTCTCTTGAAAGACACACACACACAAAAGAAAAAAGAAAATCTCCTCTGTATCTTTGTCAAAAGCTAAGTCATGTGACTCAACCTATCACATCTGAACCTCTGGAAAAGTCCCCAAAAGGCAGGACTCTCTGGATTCTCTGAGGGAAGAAGCCCTGCTACCATGTTCTTTTTCTAAAAGCCATATCCCAGCTGGTAAGAGTCCACAGATCTTGGCTTTGCTGACAGGATTTAATACCAATCTGACAGTGGCCAGAACCAGTATAGGTACTTTCTTGCTTATTTATAATTATACTCTTGAATGTTATCAAATGCTATACTCACAAACTTCCAGGTATATTGAAATGGTGTTCAACATTTGGAGGTAGAAAATGAGGGGGTTATTTATTTTTCTGAATGTTAAGTTTGAAAATCACATACATTATATGGGAATTAGGAATTAGGAACTCATTTTATGGCCTTTGAGAGTATCCTAGATGAAAAGCAGCAACAAAGGGTAGCTAATATATATTTGATGGGATCTCTGACAAAGTACCACCTACAAGCTTCAGAGCCTTAACAGGAAACCAGAACCACATAGCCCCACTGAACCGTAGAAGAGTAAGCTGATAAGGTGTATTTCTGTGCAACAGACCCAAGAGAATGGGAGGAAAATGTGATATAACGGCCTGGGAATCTGAAGTAGGCTGCCCATTACTGACAAGTAAATAACACTTTGTGAAGTAAATTCAGTCATTTCAATGCATTAGAAATAACTGTTATTTTCGGAAATGAATAATAGTTCCACTCTCCAGGAAAGTAACTTAAAAATGAAGCTGGTTTGGGACCAGCAGTTAGTGTAATGGCTATGTCGCTGGACTCCCACGTAGTCGACCGCGGCTCTAGTCCCAGACCCGGTGGCTTAAAACTCACGCTGGGCGCGTGTGCGTGCTTGCCCAAGATCCGGAGAGGAGAATGGAGAAGGGAATGCAGCATGGCCATCCCCCCGGGGGGGTGATTTCTCGCTTTCTGTCTCTCTGTCTCTGTCTGTCTGTTTGGCGAGCACACGCGCCCTATGGCAAAAAACCTCTCCAGAAAAAAAAAAAAGCTGGTTTTACAATTAATATTCAATCTTAACTTACAGACCCAACAGTGAGCCAAACAAAGGAGTGCCATCCTAAGCAATAGGGAGATAGTACTGGAACTCACACTGGTCGGATGCAGACAGAGTGTCTTCCAGATGGTCTAAGTAAATCCTGGTTATTAATTCTCCCCTGATAAGCAGCATCTTAAAAATGAACTTTTCTCCCTTAGGCTAGCATCAGATCAACTAAAGGAAGATTAACACAGATAATGAGTTTCAGAGAAGATTCTAAACTGTCAAAAGGACAAAGCCCCTAGAATGCTGCCTTTATTGGAAATGGCTTAGAATTATTCTGTCCTAATTTTATGATTAGAAGGCAATGATTAAGATCCTCTTTGGGGGGAAAAAGTTACGAGCACTTTTAATGAGCGAGGAAAAGGGAAGAAAGGCTTCCTTTTGGATACAGTAGGGAAATTATAGAGAATTTTTAGTTACAGTTCTTAAGATTCTCATGATAACTATCTTAATTTTTTAAGGATTATTACTATCACTGGTATTTATACTTGTAATGGAGAAAAGTAGGCTTGTGCTATGTGCTCCGTAACATAAAGGAGCCTTGCTGACCCCTGCCGGCTGAACCTGGAACTGCACAATCTGCGTAAATAGGAAGGATCTAAAAATCAAGGAACGAGGATGAGCCACTAATTCTTTCCTCACCCTGAGAAGTTAACAGATTGATCCTGGGGGCCAGCCCGATCTTTATTAAGGAGGTGGTAGAACGGGAGGGTAGTCTAATCACATTTAAATATTTTCCCTTTTATTTACAGAAAATGAAATGTGATTCCTCCCACACTTTTCCCCACTCTAGAGTTTTCTCCCACCTCCTAAAATAAAATGGGCAAAGATCTGCGATCCTAAGGCCCTACCTGTAACTCATGAATCCAGGCTGGCAGTCAGGCCGAGGGTCACTATCGGAGAACTATGCCATCTTAAAGATTTCACACCTGGGCGACTGGAATTTCGAAGGTCCAGCTTTTTTCCTTTGGCATGGAACAGACGGGAAGAAGAAAACACAAGCACACAGAGCCACCGGCAGACTCACCATTTCATGAGGAACATGAGCTCTCCACTGGAGTCTGTAGCTCCAATAATCCGCTCTGGCTCCAAACCCCGGGCAAAGCCTCGTGGCTTTTCTGACTGTGAAAACCAGATGGGTGGAACAATTTTATCTATATGGGACTGTTATCCAGACTGGACTACTCCTATGTATCTGATTAATGTAATCATAAGTAACAGAACAAAGTCCTTTGGAGTGACTATCCCATCAAGGTCTGAAATGCTTCATGTATTTCCACATATGAAAAAGGACATAAGCCCCAAGCAAAGTATTTTTTTTTTTTTTTAATTTTAAGAGACTTTTGCCATAAGGTGCGTGTATTCGCCAGAGAGACAGAAAGCGAGAAATCACCCCCCAGGGGGGATGGCCACATCGCAATCCTTTCTCCTCAATTCTCCTCTCAGGATTTTGAGTACAATGCACATGTGCCTGGGTTGAGTTTCAAGCCGCCAGGTCTGGGACGTGAACTGTGGTCAACCACATGGGAGTCCAGCACCTCAACCACTACACCAGCTGCTGGGCTTTAAATTTTTGGGGGTATAAACTTCACCCTTAGAAGACAACTTTATTATGTTGAATAAATCAAATTAGCCACCTCAAGCTCTCAGTGATTAAACATTAAAAGCCATCTATTTACAGGAATGAATTCACTGGCCTTTAAACCAGTCACCAATAACTGTTACATTTATTATTCCCACACTGCCAATAAAGAGATTCTTAGCTCCATGAGTGTAAGCCCCCAAACATCAAAAACACTAGCCTACTAAGATTTCAGAAGGACTGAAGAGATGGCTGGTGAGATCTGGGCTAGTGAAAATTCTTATGTCTAGCCTTACCTCCTCTTTCTTCTTCTTTGGTTTACTTTCCTCTCCCTTATCTTCAGAATCAGAATCAGCTTTGCGCTTGCCTCCCTCTGTCTTATCTGTCTCATGTGCTGTTTTCTGTGACTGCAGAAACTCAGCAATGAGATCCGGGCAATCCAGGTTCTCCTCTGGTTCCCACGTGTTGTCTTCACTGAAAGAAGAGGGTGCAGTGAGTCACCCTTCCCACTCAAAGTCAGCACACTCACACCGAGGAAAAGCACAGGAGGACAAGAGCTGGAGTCCTTAGAAAAGAGGAGATTTTTGTCCAAGACCAAAGACTTGGGAAAGCTGAAATTTCTGGGATGTGGGTGAAGCTTTTCAGTACAAACTGAAAGCTTATCAACTTACCCCCTTCAAAAGAAAATTACTTTTCAAATTTAGATTGGCTATAGTCACATACTGCATGACACCTCAGAAATTAGTTTTGCATTATAGTACTTTGTACATATAGGTTACATGGCTAATTAGACTATCAGCCATGAAGACCAGGACTGAGTCACACTGTACCCATCACCTCACTGGAGCCTTGCCTAGCACCAGGCTCCTGATGAACAGCTGCTCACTGAACTGACTGTGTCAATGAAACTTACTCTGAGAAGCCCTTCCACTTGAGGAGGTACTCCACTTTGCCCTTTACCACTCGACGGTCGAGAACTTTTTCCACCACGTATTCCTCTTCCTCCTCTTCTAGCACCTCCTCCACTTTCTTCTTGTTTTGTTTTTTCCCCATAGTGCCCGCCAGCTTTCTGGTATAAAGGGTGACGCTGCTAAAATGATAAAGAAAATACAAAGGGTCTTAGTGTATACTCTTGTTGGCTAGATGGCTATCTGAATGGTGAGATGATGGACAGCATAGATCACTTCAGTACTGCAGGCTGCCTATAATAAATGTTTTGCCTATTCATCTTCAATATACAGGAAAGTTTAATGACGTATAATAACTAATCTCAAAGTGAAACATTTATTTTTTGAATATCCATTTAAAACTCTCATTCCCATTCTTTTTAATTTAAAAAGTCTCCCCAATACTCCTTTTACTACTTAGCATGATCCCTAAAATACTATAGTAATCTGAAATAAAAGCATTCTCCTCCTTTTTTTTTTTTTTTTAAGAGAAATTTTTGCTATAGGATGCATGTGCTCTCAAGAGAGACACAAAGAGACAGAAAGCGAGAAATCACCCCCCCCCAGGGGGATGGCCACACTGCGATCCTCCTCCCCCATTCTCCCCTTGGGTTCTTGGGCATGCACGCACACGCACACACACCCAACATGAGTTTTAAACCACTGGGTCCGGGACTCAAACTACGGTAGACTACCTGGGAGTTCCTTGACGTAACCATTACACCATCTCCTGGTCCCAGGAAACTATTCTTCTTTTTAAAAATGCATGCATAGGGCTATCTGGTGGCGTAGTGGTTAAGACACTAGATTCCGACCAAGGTTCCTCAGACCTGGTGGCCTAAAAATCATGCTGGGTGTTACGTGTGTATGTGTCCAAAATCCTGAAAGAAGGAACTGCAGTATGTCCAGCCACCAGGGGGTTGATCTCTCACTTTCCCTGTCTGTCTCTCTCTGGAGAGGGCATGCATCCTATGGCATAAAAAAAACCCCCAAAAATAGGGACCAGCACTTAGCATAATGGCTATGTCGCTGGATTCCCATGTAGTCGACTGCAGTTCGAGTCCTGGACCCAGTGGCTTAAACTCACACCGGAACTTGAATTTTTACTGTGAGAAACAGCTTGTTCTATTATACATCTAGCTTAACATTTTTTGTACATGAAGATATATATAATATAACCCATTCTGCACTGCTAAATACCCTCCTTTGTAAAGTTCCCTTGTTGGGTAATATCTACAGGTCCTTCCACTGTTAGTATTATAGTCCTCTATAAATCTTTAGTCTTTTCAACTCAAACATCTGGTAGGCTTAAAGCCTTATGATTACCACTTGTGTCAGTAGATGGCGATGCAAGATACCAATAAAACAAAATTGGTTAACAGAACTGGCCAAAAATTCAAAAATTGATGGACTGTAGTTGTCCAGAATGGCATACAAAGAATCAAGAAAATGGCAGATAATCCAAGATAAGGAAGAAGAGTTATTACTCTGCTTGAGTTTAAGGTAATACTAATTTGGGGTTAAACTGGTTATTCCTAGCATCCTTGAGAACAAATCTTAGAAGCAGAAACTCTTCTAAAATTTGTAAACTGGCATGTATAGGTGGAATGCATTTTAGAAAGGTCCATCTGTGGACTATATGAGATGTAATAAATCTTTCATAAATATCAGAATCATTATTATGAAATCTATCACACCATCTACAGGTTTTTCATTTACATCCTCAAAGATACTCCCTGACTGTACCTATGAACGATGCTGACTTATCAACTATCTCTATTTGCATACTGCTGCAGGAGTGCCTTCTTCCTTTCCCAAAACTTTGTTGCCTCCTGTCTTTAGAGAGGGCACTAGATGAGTATTCCTTTCCTTCTGTTATTGAAGAGACTAATAAGTGGATTGAATATAATCCTTGGCTGATTCTTGGCTAGCTTCCCTGTGCCTCTGATTTTAGGACTGTGCTTCTTGCTGGAGGGAGATGCTTTCAGGCTTTCAAAGTTCTGACTGCCGGGAACCAGCAGTTAGCATAATGGCTATGTCGCTGGACTCCCACGTAGTTGACCGTGGTTCGCGTCCTGGACCCGGTGGCTTAAAACTCACGCTGGGCGCGTGTGCGTGCGTGCCCAGGATCCCGAGAGAAGGGAGGAGAAGGGATTGTGGCGTGGCCATCCCCCCTGGGGGGTGATTTCTGTCTCTCTGTGTTTGTCTGGCGAGTGCACGCACCCTATAGCGAAGTAGCGCCCCCCCCAAGGAAAAAAACCCCCACAAAAAAAAAAAAAAAAAAATTCTGACTGTCGTATTACAAGCCAGCCCCTATTATCATATATTTTTAAAATAATTATTTTAACTTTATTTATTTATTTAAATTTGACCAGACAGGGACAGAGTGAAAGAGAGATAATGAGGACGCAAACTACCTGCAGGTCCCCGTTATTATTTTTTAAGTTGTTAGCAGAAGGAAAACCAGAGAGAGACAGAGGGATAGTGAGAAAACAAGCCACCAGGTCCAGGACTTGAACCTCTTGGCCATGTGGGATTCCAGTGCCTTAACTACCACACTACTGCTGGGACCCAAAGTTTTGAGTTTTAAAGTCCTAGAAGTCTTTTGCATACTTAAAAATTGACATCTGCTAGACAGTGTAGAATTTTTAGTTAAATATCTGGCAAGTAGGCTAGAGAAAAAAATCTACTGGAAAAATGCCAATTTAAGTAAGTCCAAATGTGTATAGTGTCCCAATGGATCCAGGAATAGTGTAGAGAAAAAAGAACACTTGCAATTCTCCTTGCCAACCCTCCACTTCTGTACCTAGGAGATAGAAGATAGAAAGCCTGAACAACTGAAGGTAGAAGGCAGTAAAACATCAGACCCAAGATGAGATGTTTTGCTTTCAAACAGCTTGTACTGTGCTTGTACTGTGAATGGTTATGAGAATGATCTGTGTAGCAGTGTGGGCATGGCTCCTGGCTGCCACCACAAATGTTAATTATGAAGAGCCACCACAATGAGCTTCCATGATACTGTTTTTTAAAGTATTTTTTCCTTTTTTTTTCATTTTCTTTAAAGGTTTTTGCCTAAGGTGACATGTGCTCACCAGGGAGAGAGAAACAGAACTAGTGAGAAGGAATGTGAGAAATCATCCCTCGGGAGAATGGCCACACCACAATCCATTTTCCTCCTGGGATCTTGGGCGCACATGCACACAAACATCTGGTCAGTTTTCAAGCCACCAGGGTCTGGGACCCAAACTGTAGTCGGCCATGTGAGAGTCCAACGACATAATCACTAGGACATTTGCTGGTCCCAAAGGATTTTTTTTATCTTATGGTAAAGCACATACACACACGAGAGTGAGAGAGTGAAAGAAACTAAGAAGCACCCTCCATAGGATCTGGTCATGTCATGGTCCCCTTCCTCCAATCTTCTGGCCCAATGAATCCTGGGCCTTACAAATGCAGGGCATGTTTCAGGCTGATGAGGTGGGGATTTGAACCAGTCACCATGTGAGTAGTATACTATCACTGCACCATGGAGCTAATCCAGTAAAGTGATATATTTTCAAAAATATTTTCACTTTTTCCTAACTGTAATACATATATTACTTTCATTTACAATATATAATGTAGAAAATCAGTCTCCTGGTCTAAACCTATCACAACATGATTTTGTTCTATAAACACAGATACATACATTTGAAAACTTATCTACAACCTTTTTATGCAATGCAATATATCTTTGACCTGTTCTATGAAGAGCTTCACTTTGTTTTTCTTTTAATTGCCAGAGTATGCGTGCCTGCCAGAGACAATGAGAGAGAAAGCATTCCCAGTCAAGTGTGGTCATGCCACAATCCCCTTTTCTTCATTTGTTCAGATTGTGAACATGCATGCTCACATGCTTGGCATATTTTTCAAGCTGCCAGGGTTGGGATTTGAAATACAGCTGGCCAAGTGGGATCTAGCTTCCTGTGCACTGGGCCTAACCTCTGCACTACGGACTGGCCTCAAGATCTTCATTCTGAACAGGTGCAGAGTAACCACACTTCATTCACCTAGTAATGAAAATATGGGTTATGGGAACCAGCAGTTAGCGTAATGGCTATGTTGCTGGACTCCCACGTAGTCGACCGCGGTTTGCGTCCCAGACCTGGTGGCTTAAAACTCACGCTGGGTGCGTGTACGTGCATGCCCAAGATCCCGAGAGGAGAATGGAGGAGAAGGGATTGCTGCGTGGCCATCCCCCTGGGGGGGTGATTTCTCGCTTTCTGTCTCTATGTCTCTCTCAGTCTGTCTGGCGAGTGCACACGCCCTATAACAAAAACCTCGCCAAAAAAAAAAAAAAAAAGAAAATATGGGTTATTTCCAATTGTAAAGAATCTTGCTTTGACCATGGCATCTACATAATTTTAATTTTTATTTTCTCATTTTTTTAAGTTTTTTTTTTGCTGGAGAGAGGGAAGGAAAAGTAGGAAATCACTCCCCAGGGTGGTGGTCACCCCACAATCCCTTCTCCATTCTCCTTTTGAGATTTTGGGCATGCACACAGCATGATTTTCAAGGTACCAGGTCTGGAACTTCAACTGTGGTTAGCCATGTGGAAATCCAGTGCCTTAACCACCATGCCATCTGCTGGTTCCAGCATCTATATCTTTAAAAGCTCTGTAAGCGGGCCAGCCCTGTGGCACAGCAGTTTAGGGAGTTGGATCCCAACTACAATTTGCCTCCCAGCCTAGTGGCTTGAGATATACATCAGGTGTGTGTACATGCACCCAAAATTTTGATGGGAAGGAGGAATGGAGGAAAAAGGATTGCAGTATGACAACACCTCATTAAGAGGTGCTTTCTCTCTCTCTGGTAAGTGCACATGCCCTCTGACAATATAAAATAAAGCCCCATAAGTGATTTTGATGCACAGTTGTGGATAAAAACACTGTGATAAGAGGACCAGCAGAAACGATGTTCCTCAAGTAAAATTACATACATTACTACAAACATAAATCAATACTCATAGTTAGCTTGAAAGCAGGTGAATCATCGACTTTCTCCATAAAATTTAGAACAAGGATGGGGCACAAATAAAATAACTGATACGCTTGAAAACAAAACCACCTTTTAAAAAAATTTGCCAGAGGAGGGCCACACAGAA